CTCTCTCTGCTCTCTCTCTGTGTGCTCTCTCTCTGATCTCTCTCTATGTGCTTTCTCTCTGATCTCTCTCTATGTGCTCTCACTCTGATCTCTCTCTATGTGCTCTCTCTCTGTTCTCCCTAGCTATTCTCTCTTTCTGTTCTCTCTCTCTGCTCTCTCTCTGTGTGGTCTCTCTCTGATCTCTCTCTATGTGCTCTCTCTCTGATCTCTCTCTGATCTCGCTCTATGTGCTCTCTCTCTATGTGCTCTCTCTCTGATCTCGCTCTATGTGCTCTCTCTCTATGTGCTCTCTCTATGTGATTTCTCTCTGATCTCTCTCTATGTGCTCTCACTCTGATCTCTCTCTATGTGCTCTCTCTCTGTTCTCCCTAGCTATTCTCTCTTTCTGTTCTCTCTGTTCTCTCTCTCTGCTCTCTCTCTATGTGCTCTCACTTTGATCCCTCTCTTTGTGCTTTCTCTCTGTTCTTTCTCTATGTGCTCTCACTCTCTCTGGTCTCTCTCTCTGATCTCTCTCCATATACACATTTGTAGCATGGATAAAAGAGCTCTCTGTTGGAGAAAACAACTGAGTGAGAGCAGATGTGATTGTAGCGTCCGTCATGGGTGCTCTCACCTTCACTTCCACTACAGTAAGTAAGTAAGTAATCTTTATTTATATACCGCCTTTCACAGACCAGAGTCACAAAGCGGTTTACAATTGTTATTATTTTTGGGCACTTGTCTGTCACTCCACACAGAGATGGGAGTGGGGTCACCGAACAGGAGGCGCATGTCGGACCAATTGTACATATTTTTAGTGGTAGGGGAAACCGGAGCACCCGGAGGAAACCTACACAGACACGGGAAGAACATGCAAACTCCACTCAGAAAGGCCCTGGTCCGACCGGGATTCGAACCCAGGACCTTCTTGCTGAGAGGCGAGAGTGCTATCCACTCAGCCACCGTGCCGCTCATTACAGCATGTGTTGGTTAAGAAAAGAAAAACAACTCTTTCCCAAAGTCGTAAATAAAAACCTGCTGCTTGTTTGTTCTTTGTGTGAATTCTGTCAGGTCCTGGTTCCTCTGTTTTCTCGGTTTTTCTCTGGAAGTCTGGAAATTGGGGTTATTCTGCGGCGGTGATGGATTTCACACATCTGTGGTTCAGAGGAAGGGAAGTGACAAACAAAACCCTGACCTCAAAAACACTGCTTTTCTTCTTCTGCCCAGAGACGGCTGTAGAAGTGTTATTGTCCATTACTCTATATGTTTGTATGTATGTGTTCCAGCTCATTCTTCTTGAAGACATTTTCTCAGTCAGTATGTTGGTGATGACTCGGAGAATGGTGTTAATAAAAGCTCCCAGAGAGTACAAATAGTAGAATCATTGGTCCTCTTCTGGTCCTGGTTCTCTGGTCTCTCTCTGGTCCCCGTCCTGTCCTGGTACCGTTCTGGTCCTGTCCTGGTCTCTCTCTGGTCTTTCCCCCGTATGTGTATGTGTTCCAGCTTATTCTTCTTGAAGACCTTTTCTCATTCAGTATGTTAATGAGTCAGGGAAGGGTTTTCATGAAACTTCCAGAGAGTACAAATAGTGCGTACAATCATTGGTCCTGTTCTGGTCCTGGTCCTCTGGTCTCTCTCTGGTCTTCCCCCCTTATATGTATGTGTTCCATCTTATTCTTCGTAAAGACATTTTCTCATTCAGTATGTTGTTAGTGACTCAGGGAATGGTGTTACTAAAAGCACCAGAGAGTACATAGAGTGTGTACAATCATTGGTCCTCTTCTGGTCCTCGTTCTCTGGTCTTTCTCCCCCTAGTCTCTCCCCAGTCTATCTGTAGTCTCTCTCCCTTTTCTTTTCCTGGTCCCCGTCCTGTCCTGGTACCGTTCTGGTCCTGTCTCGATTCTCTCCTGGTCTCTCTCTTTTCTTTCTCTCCTTATATGGATGTGTTCCAGCTTCTTCTTCTTAAAGACATTTTCTTATTCAGTATGTTGGTAATGACTCAGACGTTACTAAAATCTCCAGAGAGTCCAAATATTGTTTAAATCATTGGTAATTGTCTGATGTTGCATTTCATGGCGTTAAAGCTGGAGTATGTAACTTTCAAACCACAAGAAATGGAACCATGAAAGAAACTGTATCTTTTTAACAATCTCAAAAAAGTTACTGTCTTTGTCACATCTTTGTCCGACAGAAAAGAGAAATATTTATGGACATTTATGGACCCATGTCTCCTGTGTTTGTTTTTATTGCATCTCCTGTGTGAGAATGGTTTGATTCTCTGATCTGTTGTTGGAGAAATGACAACTTTCTAAAGTCGTCCGAGATAACTGCTGTTGGGATTTAGAGATACAGTAGACACAAATACATTGAATTGAATTTTGTCCCGGTCCTCTCCTGGACCTGTTTTTCTCTCCCTAGTCTCTCTCTAGTCTATCCGTAGTCTCTCTCTCCCTTGTCTCTTACTGGTCCCTGAGTTGTAATGACTCATACACAAATACATTGAATTGCAAAAGAGAGGAGCACCTTGACTCAGCCAATAAACATTTCATAGAGTCATTTCAATGTATCTATTATTGGAACGGCCTCTGTTTCCACCAGCTCTACCCAACTCTACGCTACCCTACCTTACTCTACTCTACTCTATCCTGTTCTACTCTACTGAACTTTTTCCTGTATCTGGCAACCTATCCACAACAAACTAGCATGCAGAGAAATTCCTTCGAAACCATGGCTTCTAGCAGCATTCTGTCAGTTAGAACACTTTAGCACCAGCTCGGCCTGGATAGAACCAGGACCAAGAGGGACTGAAGAAGAACCTGGTACTGGTTACACTGGACCAGAGGAAGCACTCCTAATCAGGGGAGAGTAGAGTGGAGAAGAGTAGAGTAGAGTAGGGTAGAGTTTGGCAGGGTAGGGTAGAGAATAGAGTCCAACATACATCTGCTTCTCTCATGATACAGATACAATTACTCCAATCCATGAAAGATCTCATACATTTAATTTGTATTTCTAACTCAATATTTAAACAACTGAAGAAACAAAAGGCCGTTAATATCGCTCCGAAACCCTACAGCCTTCATATTATGCTCATTCTAATTGCTTTGTCGTTAAAGTCGAGCTGCGAGGGGCGAACGTGTGGGGGGTGTCCATAAATGAGCAAAAACACTGAATATTTTATGTAGTAATTATATTTGCAATCACCATATCGTATGAATGATTCACCGTTCGCTCACGCAGCTTTGATTGGCCGCAAAAGCACTCGGTCTTTCCACATCCCACGCTCCGGCACAGTCACATACCGGGCTTTAGCTGCTGGTTGTGAGTAAATGTAGAATGGATCATAGACTGGATGAAGCTGGATTATGCTAACCCGCTAGCTCAATGAAACCAAATAGGGAAGTGCTAATGGAGTCAATTTACGTTTGATATCATGTGGATATAGGGTGTTGCTGGTTGAACTTGTCTCCACATGATCTAGAGGCCACATGCGGTACTGTTTAGACTTCCCCACAGACCTCAGTGTGAACTAAAATGGCTCGTTCTCAGAGACAGGGAACAACAGCTTTATCAAAAGTTGGGTTTTGTAAGGATTTTATTATCTTTATACCTGTTTTCTTTTAACATCTATTAGTTTTCTGTATAGATCCACACTTTAGTGCCAAAAACTCAGCTTGCTCCCTCACTTATCAGTGGGGCTCTGATTGGTCAGAACTCTTGCATGTCCCTCTCTCTGGTTTCTCCCTGGTCGCTCTGGTCTCTCTCTTGTCTCTCTCTTGTCTCTCTCTGGTCTCTCTCTGGTTTGTCTCTGGTTTGTCTCTGGTCTCCCTCTTTAGTCGCTCTCGCTGATTTCTCCCTGGTCTCTCCCTGGTCTCTCTCTGATTTATCTCTGCCGTGCTCCAATTGGTCCGATTGCTCATGTGTCATCCTGGTCCTGCTGAAGTAGAACCACCGCACACCTACTGTACAAGACCAGGAGAACTAAAACCAGAGCGCGTCTTTTCTGCTAACGTTTGGGACGTACGTGGTGCCAGAGTGAGCCAAAGAGAACACACCATTGATCGGAATGAGCAGACATCTTGGAGAGACCTGGGGCGGACATCAAGGAGAGATCAGAGGCAGACATGTTGGAAAGTCCAGGGTCAGACATCTTGGAGAGACCAGAGGTAGACATCTTGGAGAGACCAGGGGCAGACATCTTGGAAAGTCCAGGGTCAGACATCTTGCAGAGACCAGGGGCAGATATCTTAGAGACTAAGGATTTGGCTCCAACTCCCTCGGGCTCCTCAACTTTTGGTGTTAAGAACATCTGTGGCTCGTATTGTGATATTGTCTAGATCCAGATATGAGCCATAAAAGGATCAGATGCCTTGATTCGTGGGGGAAACTTCAGGTGGCCACGAACAAAATTCCCATAAAAAGAACATGGCTCCACCTAGCTCCTGCTCAAATCGTCCTCTTCTGCGTTAAGATAAATTGATCCTTTATTCGTCCCACAATGGAGAAAATTCAGTGTTGCATCACAATTACAGCAGGAGTAAGAAGCACACAGCACAAGATCATTGTATATTAAGAACAGTACAACATTAGCTTTTAAAAATTAAATGAAATGTATAGCTTAATGAAGAAACAAACTTTGAAATGCTGTATATGTGCAGGAGTATACACTGCTGTGGTGCCGCGGATTTATGATTGTATTTGTCGTCGCCCGAGGAGTGCGTTGTTGCTGTGTTGTTTTGGACGGAGACTTAAGCAGAGCGTGGGTTGTTCGGAGGGTAAATTAACCGCAGTGTAGGGCTGAAACAACTAATCGATTAATCGACGACTAATCGATTAATGAAATAGTCGACAACTATTTTAGTAATCGAAAAAATACATTTTTTCTACACAATTCACAGCCAAGCAATTACTCGATTAATTGTAAAAATAATCGATAGATTAATCGATTACAAAATAATCGTTAGTTGCAGCTCTACCGCAGTGAGATCATGCATCGAACCCAGAGCGAAAATACAGATGTAATAATGGCACAATGTCAGAGTTTTATGTTCACACACTTTCCCCTGATTCGTGAGTCTGGTTATTATCTGGAGGCGAGCGAGGAACTAGGGATGGAAGAAATTGAGGATCTAGTGAAAGAAGTGATTGAGGAGCTAGAGAAAGAAGCAAATGAGGAGCTAGGAAAGGAAGGGAGCAAGGAGCTAGTGAAGGAGACATGTGAAGATCTAGAGAAGGAAGCAAGAGAGGAGCTAGAGAAGGATATGAGCAAGGAGCTAGTCAAGGAAGCGAGCAAGGAGCTACTGGAGAAAGCGAGTGAGGAGCAAGAGAAGGAAGCGAGCTAGGAGCTTGTGAAGGAGACGAGTGAAGAGCTAGAGAAGGAAGCGAGAGAGGAGCTAGAGAGGACATGAGCAAGGAGCTAGTGAAAAAAGCGAGCTAGAGAAAGAAGCAAGTGAGGAGCTAGTGAAGGAAGCAAATGAGGAGCTAGAAAAGGAAGGGAGCAAGGAGCTAGTGAAGGAGATAAGTGAAGATCTAGAGAAGGAAGCACGAGAGGAGCTAGAGAAGGATATGAGCAAGGAGCTAGTCAAGGAAGCGAGCAAGGAGCTAGTCAAGGAAGCGAGCGAGGAGCTACTGGAGAAAGCGAGTGAGGACCAAGAGAAGGAAGCGAGCAAGGAGCTAGAGAAGGACATGAGCAAGGAGCTAGTGAAGGAAGTGGGCAAGGAGCTAGTGAAGGTAAAAAGGAGGAAGAGAGCGAGGAGCTAGTGAAGGAAAGGAGCGAGAGTTTAGTTTCACACTTGTCCATGATGTGTCCATTGTTCTTGTGGGCGGCAGGAAAGCGTCCAATTTAAATAAATTGTTGGATGTGTGTAAACCTGGGAACATGGATTCAGGTGAAGGAGAAGGATTTACATAATTAGTGTAAACACAACTGGGACTTCCTGCATCGCTGTAGCGGAGGGAATGTGTGTGTGTGTGGATGTGTGTGTGTGTTACTTTTGTTCCTCATCAGTCACAGACCTTGTTTTTAGCTCCATCCATGCTGATATCTATCCCCGCCCCTTCTGTCTGAAAGCTCCTGTCTCAGTCTGTAACAGTATGATGTCACTGTATCATTGTGACATCACATTCAGAGCTGTTTTCTGCCTTTAAAAATACCCCAATTTATAATTTTTCTCAAGCTCAAATTTGATGATTTTTCCTAGATCTGTTTAGACCCTAATTTAGGTAATTTTTCTTTGAACGCTTCAGAGAGTGGGTAATTTATGATCCAAATATTCTGTTTCAATTACTGCACTGTTTTAATGAAATCCCAAACTAATGAAATGAAAAAAAGCTTGGGTTGGACCCGAGGGAGCGAGGAAACTTTGAAAACATGTTCAAAAGCGCTCCCAGTTTTATCCGCTATAATCCCAGTTGCATTTCTCCAGCTGAGTGGTCACATTTCCATACGGGCGGGTCCTTCGGAAGCGCAGCAGTCACAGCAGAAAGCTCCTTCTCTGCTCTTCAGACTCAAAATGGCCGTCTGCTTTTGATTGTTTCCCAAAATAGAGCGAGATGGAAAGAAGAAGCCGCCGTTATAATGGAGATGCAGCCGTTTGAGAGCGGGAAAAATAAATGCTATTACGTGCTACACACAGGCACTTTGAAGCGGCACGCAAACACACACACACACACACACAGACACATGCGCACACACACACACATACACACAGACAGACACACTTGTTGAGTTTCTGGGGTAAAATAAGCAGGACTGGGGTCTACAGGAAGACCAAAGAGAGACCAGAGAGAGATGATGACTTTGAGATGATGACAAACGTATTACTTCAGTGCGATACCAGTGCATGTATAAAACTTATATACTCTCTAGATGTATCAATCCTAAGATTATTGACGGGGAAAAACACACATAGATTACAATTTGACCTCTAGGACAGAACCCTCTGTTTCCCGGACTGAAGATAAAGCAACTGTGTCTCTCTCTCTCTCTCTCTCTCTCTCTCTCTCTCTCTCTCTCTATACTTCAGACTCTGTGCCCTCTATGTTCTATTCACCATAAACAAACAATTAAAAATAAATGTAATGTATTCTTGAATTGCCCTTAATCACAACAGTAGTAATCTCGGGGGAGTTTACCAAATCATTGAATTCGCCGACACATTGGTATTTGTCCATGAGGGGCAGAAACCAATCTCCATAATGTTGATAAATGTGGAATGTTCTGTCCTGGATCGTGCTAAACTCTCACATTGTCCTGTCCCCGCCTCTTGCCCTGCTGTTTCAGACCTCCCAAGTTTACTCCTGCTTCTTTCTCAAATATATTTCCTCCGTTCAAAGTAATTGCCCCTGAGACGTGTGCCATGCAGCCGCTCCTTTCCTTTGGCACAGCTCTGCGAACAGTGGAATGAGCCTTTAGCATAATAAACCAACATAAATAACCTCACTTCATTATTTGCCTTAGCGCGCATGCACCGGTGTGATGGGACGGCTTTTTTTTAGCCGCGGGTCGCAAGTGACTACGCCAAACTGCCACATAAATCACCTATTATCTCCCTAACCGCTTTGCAAAACATAAACAAGGCAACGATTGCTTCCACATCAGCAGGTGCGGCGCAACAATGGCTATTTCGCTTAGGCTAACAAGGTCTCGAGCCGCGCGCTGTATAATTAAGATACTGATAAATGGGGTAGCGCACGAGTCGCCGCGCTCGCAAGTCGGCTTCGGCGCGTTGCCACATCAATCACCGTGAGCGCTCTGCCTGGATCTGTCAGAATGTCAGCCACGACAAATGTAATCGTCCTCACAAGCACACACACACCGGCGCGCGCACACACACACACACGCACACATTCTGGCGGAGTGGGCCTGGGTTCCGTCCGGGCCCAATTCATCACCATTAGCGAAGTTTAGCGACGTCCGGACAGAAAAGTGTCAAAGAAACGATAGTTGTGTTCCACGATGACGCTTTTGTTTTGAGATTCTTTACAGAGGAAAGTTGCGGAGGGAAGTTGCGGCACAATGCACAGCCAGTTTTTTTGTATAGCACAGTTCGTACACATGTGATCTATAATAGTCCATCTAGGACAGCTTCCAGAGGGGGTTTCCCACTAGTTCGGCCAAACTAAGGTGCGAGGGCCAGTTGCAGCCCTGTGTATCATATTAGTTCAGGTCAGTCAGTGTCATTCAGCCAACTTAAGCTCCGCCAACATAGACACAACTAAAGCGTTGTGAAGAATCAGAATATCTAGAATCCATTTTGTTTGTCTGAACTGACATTTGTGTTTGATTGTAAAACAAATGTATTAATTCTGGTGAGTAAACGTTTATCATTCAACCAACTTCCGCTCCTTCAACCATTTACGACCAATCCACTCGGTCCCTGGACAGTAATGTGGCCGTCTTACTAATACGTTTGGACCCCTATCAGAAAATAAATAAGAATAATGCATTGCTTTTACACACTGCATACACAACAGTCCCACCGGTGTTCCCAGAGGTCTCCCATCACAGTACTAACCAGGTCCTACCATGCTTAACTTCAGATATCTGACAGGATCTAGCTTTCACCTGCATGTACGGCCACGTAGAAGGTGTTTTTGCCTGTTGTGTTTTGTTCAGATTGTTTGGAAAAATGTGAGAATCTTGTCTTGGCTGTGAAGACGCTGCAATGTTTCCTTAACAACCGCTAATGGAGACAAATGGACGACATTATTCATAGAAGAAGTTTTTAGTTTTATTTCAGTCCGTTTTACATAAAGATTGTTCTGTTCCAAAAGTTTTAATACTGATGGATCGAGAGGAAAATAAACGCTCCAGTTTTTATTCTGTGGGCGTGGAAAGTTCCGTGTTTAAGTTGAAATGACAGAAGTTAAAAGTTGCATTTGTTTGTGTGTGGAAGTGACAACAGGCATTATACAGAACCAAGGCTAATCAACATTTACACATTCACACCAATAAGGAATAAAAGTAGTGTGTTTGTGTGTGTGTGTGTGTGTGTGTGTGTGTGTGTGTGTGTGTGTGTGTGTGTGTGTGTGTGTGTGTGTGTGTGTGTGTGTGTGTGTGTGTGTGTGTGTGTGTGTGTGTGTGATATATATGTAATAGTGGAGTTGTTGGATTTTCATTAAAGTGAATGAATTTATTCAAGTTTAGACAGCTTTGCGTTAACCTATACATTTCAGCAGCACTCCAGACTGTCATGAGGCTGACGTGACTCTGGCAGAACAATAGCATCTCAGAGAGGTCTGTCATGAGATGTCATGAGACAGTCAGCAATACATTGCCTGTGGATGCATGTTTTTTAATAATTGTGTCTTAATACATCTGGACAATTGCAGAGACTGCTGACTTCACCGTTCTCTGGGGTCAATGGGACTGTGGACGTCTAGAAGGACAATGAGAGCATGTAGAGAGACCCTCAGGCTCAGACTCTGGACTCGTCTACAAGATTATTGATGACATCCTGTGACTTGACCAATCCGTGACGCACCTCTACTGCTATAAGGAGTTGCGCCTCCTTCATTCATTGTCTTTTTGCTTTCCATCTTGCAGGACCCAGGCTATGATGTAGTCTGTAAATGGTCTTTTGCTTTACATCTAGCGAGAGACCCAGACTAAATGTAGTCTGTACATCTGTCTGTGTGCTGATGTCCAGACAACTGCAGTTTTTTCACAATAAGTAATATTTATTCATATAGTGCATTTCATAGACCAAAGTCACCATTCTTCATTCATGGACTGAAGTGAGAAACCGAACACACTGGTCCATCAAAGCCTCCGACCAAACACCATCCATTCACTCGCTAACTCATTACATTCAGACCTAATGTTTTTAGTGGTAGGGGAAACCGGAGCACCTGGAGGAAACCTACGCAGACACAGGAAGAACATCGAAACTCCACACAGAAAGGCCTTGAGGTGGAATCAAACTCAGGACCTTCTCACTGTGAAACAAAAGCTCAAACCGTTGAGCTGAAACTGAAAATATTTACTTTTGTCTTCTCAGTTGCACCACATACTCCATTTTTCACTTTTCTGTCTGAAAATCTGATCTAAAGATGTGACAGAGGCCAGAAAGACTTACAAACAGCGGGGAACTAGCTTCATACCGCAAAAGGTGATGAAAAATAAGTCAAAAATTGCTCAAATTTGGAAAAATGTATCTAAATCTGAGCTCATTCTGACTGAGCCTTAAAACAAGATTTTCCAACGAGACAAAGCAAAATGATCTTGTTTAAATAAGATCCCAGAAATGTCTCTTTTGGAATGAGAAAATAAAGCAACAGTTCATAAAATCAGACTAATTGGCTTTGTCCCATTTGAGAATCTTGTTTTAACACAGTCAGAGCGAACTCAAAGTAAGATAAAAAATTGAATCTGTACTCGACTCCTTCTCGAGTATCTGCAAGTGTTTCTCTCGTGTATATAATATTTATAATTCGTATAATATAAACGTAACTCAAGTTTATTTATGCACAATTTAGATTTTCTACTTTTGTTTCTTGTATACTTATTTGCTCGAAATAACCATGGCTTATTATTATTTTTATTAACCATTAATTACCTAATTTATTTTTATTTTTAGCAGTGTTGGTGTTGCGTTTTGACAGCCAGGTACCCCCATCTTTATTAAACACGACATCCAAGTGGCCCACCGACAGCCCGTGACTTCCCAGACCAGACCCAGACTAAATCAAACCACTTAGTCCCATTATTACCTGAGAACCGTCGCTGTGGAGAGACGGAAGCGAGGCCGGTGGTCGTCTGTGGTCGAGTGTGAGTGATGCAGCCTGGTTCTGCATTCATTCTTTGGATTTGGACCTGCTCTCTCTCCCCTCCTCTGCTCGCTCGCCCATCTCCCATGAACCCTCTGCTTCATTAATATTGTATGTCCTCATTTATGCGCCTGTGTCTGCTCGGCCTGGTGCGGCTCGGCCTGGCCTGGCTCGCAGTGGCTGTGTTTGGTGCTGTCCTGGTTTGACACCGACACCGGAGAGAGAGATTGTTACGTAACTTTATGTTGTCTGGGTTTTTGCTAACATGCTGATAATATTCAGCTCAATTTATTTTTGTTTGGGGCTAAACCGCAACAGCAGTCGACACGGAATGACAATAATATTACCTCATCGCTGTACAATAAGTCACTTTAAGTTACTAATGCACTTGGACTGAAAAAAATAAAATCTGCACTGCTAGGTTGGTCTGGTTCTATCAAGAAATTGAAGCCGTAGCAAGAGAATTGAGAAAATATAATTACTGGCAGAGATTGTGGCGCTACTCTCCACGGGCTCTGTTAGCGGCAAAGGAGATAGCATTTAGCATTTAGGCTAGCTTTAGCTAACTACTCACTCGGGCACATGATCTACATCACGAAAAACTCAGATCCAATGGTTTCAATCTGCAAAAGGAGTTGACCCCTCCCACCTGTTTACGGAGAAAATCCAGACCTTAGTACAGACTGTTTTCCCGGTTTTATGTCTCCCTCTCTCCGTTCTAAACCATTAGTATGTCATTATTCTGTTATTATTAAAGAAT